AAAAGTTTTGACCTTGTGTAATTTTCCATCTTAATTTATAAAATCTTATACTAATAACGATTGCTCATTTTAATGATAGAATTAAAGCAGGTCAATTGCCCTGTCACTGCACATTGTATTTACTTTGCTGTGTGCAGTTCATATACTGAATTTTGTATAGCATAGTGGGAACTTCCTAAGTTGGCTCTGATGTATATTTTCATGAAAGTAATTATGAATAATTGTCTTACTTAGAGCATACTCTTTAAAAAATTAACTTTGCATAAGGGTTTTTTTATTGAACTTAGTCTAGAGTTTCACTTATCATTGTTTCAACTAAGTGAGTAGTTGAATTGTTCTTAGTAATTGTTTTGTTTTTATGGAAGTGAGTGCTGTTTCTTATATGTCTTTATTTCTGTGACTAAACCAAAGTATATCTTTCTTTAAGCAGGCCTGCCAGACAGCAGCGGTTTGATAGTTAAAATAGTGCAAATGTCTCTTTAAAGGAATTCATGGGATATATACCCTAGACATGCTTGTAGAAGATACTCAGAGAGTAGTTGACCATATTGGTCTTTATTGGAAATAGAAAATTAGCCTTTACAGATTATGTTTTATAAACATACACTGTCATTTATTAAAACAATGATCATTTATTAAAACAAAGATTTATTCCCAGGTCATGTGTTTTGAGAAATGTTTTTTTAAATTTGTCCTTATTTTTGTAAAGCAGAAATCATTGGAATCGGTCTACAAATCAGTTTACTTATATGTACAAAGGTTCAGTGAATTTAAAATACCCAGTATTTACCCTGAGAAAGGGCTTTGATAATGAAATTTGTACCATAAGAAATGTCCTAACCTGAAAAATTTACAAGTTGACAGATTTTGGAGCCTGGTGCTATATTAACACAAGGTGATAAGAATAATATTTAATGACAATAAGAAACATAATACTATAAAGTCCCCTAATTTGATATATGCAGGCGATATCAGTGCTAGAGGTAAGAATGACTGTCATGTGGATTCAATTATATTTCCTCAAAATTATGGGGTCTATCCCCCCCTGCTTTTTGGTGCATTGAAGGGTTGATCAACGGTTACTCTTTAGCTAGCATGTTAGTGTAGTTTAATTGGTGTTTTGTTTGTTTTTCCCTGTAGCCATGGTAATTAAAATGAATTCCTATTTTAATTTCTTGGACTTCATCTAAAAGGATCCATGTTTGAGGAGGTAATAACATTTAGCAAAAGTAGAATGCAGACATTTCTATAATAGGTCACTCTGATTTTCTCTTAGGGACTGACATGAAGTGACATAAAACCATCAATTGCACTTTTAGAGAGAAGCTAAACTAAAATTTAAAAGCAATAATAGTTCAATATTAGTACTAGAGTATTCAAAGGTATACATTATAAATAAAATACAATTACAGCCATTCACAGTTCCTCCTTTTAACCGTTACCTTTGGCGTTATACAGGTGAGATTCTTGTCTTTTTAACAAGAAGATATGTTTATGGAATACTGGAGGCAACAAAAAATATGTTTACATACATAGTCATTATGTATAGTATATATAATAGGTAGTTTTTTCTATTACTTAATTTTTTGATTTTAGATTTTTTGACTACCCCTTTCTTATTTGATGAATAAAAATGTTTCTCAATATCAATACAAAATATTTTTTAGTATCGTAAATCAGTTTGAATTTTTTTGGGGGGGTATACCGTAAAAACACAGATATGGCTTTGGAATCATTGCCACTTGTAAATCGTCCATGCATATTGCTTCTGTATTTCCTCACTGTTGGTGGAAGTTTTTTCTTTTTTAATCTCTCTGCCTCTCCCTGCCCCCTTCCCCCCTCCCCCACCCTACCCCAGTCACACACACCTTTTGGAATGACATTCACTTACACGAAAGGCATTTTTTTCAACTCTGCTCCTGTTTTCTAATCACAAAAAGTATTAAAGACTCTTTCATTATTCAAATTCTAAAAACCAATCTTCTTTCTCTTACCTCTTATTTTCATACAACTCTTTACTTGTACCTTTTATTTTAGTTGTCTTTGTTTTTAACTTTAGAGAATGGGCACTAAACAGTGTGGCCTTGTTAAGTTAATATATCATCCAGTTGGGAATGTTAATAAAATTGTCTGGGTTAGGGAATTGAGACTAATAGGTGAAATACTGGACCCTTTCATTTAATGTTAGGCCTAAAGGATTGGGAGTTTCCACTTTAGTCTACAAACCTCAGACTGCCGTTGATGTACAACTTGTTAGGTGGATGATTACACAATATTCCTGAACACATTATAGAATTAAAAAAAAAAGAATCACTTATCCAGATGCCTTCTAAGACACACACATACACTAATAGGGTACTGACAGTTACCAAGGCAAATCTTTCCAAATACATTATTTCCTCTTCAATAATTAAATACTGTAAAACATAAAAATATTTATACTGCACCCAGATTTAAAAAAAAATAGAAGGATATATTTTTGTCTCATGGATATCCAGGCTGATTTCTTGGTCCTTCTGTTCCTTTAATATGAATTCCTCTTTCTTTCCTAGAAGATCAGCTATGGTACCCTAAATTTTGTTCATTGAAAGGTAACAGTACAGTTTCTCCTCTTCTAACATCACACACCATTTATGTATTCATCGTTTTATTTCCCATTTACATGGATATTGAAAATTAGATACTGCTTAGTTTCCCCACACAAGAGCGATCAAGTGTAGATGCAGGAACACAAATCCATTAGGGTCTTCACACATGTACTGATATTTCATTTACCTTTACAACACAATGATTCCTGGTTCATGTGGTTCATGGATTCTTCTCATAAATGTATTGATTTGCTTTCATTCTATATCTTGATGCATAAATATTTTTTTGACTCTATGACTTTATTTTGTATGACTGACCCTTATGATCTTGATCAATTTGCATTTAACGTTTTAAGATTTAAATCTTGAAACAATCAGTAATTCTTTATAAAATCGCATCCACACATCAGGATATGCCAATTTTTTTTCTTATCATCATCCAAGTTATTTCTAAAAGTGTTCAAAGGGTCTAAGGTTAGATAGCCCAGAATTCAAAGTGGCCAAACCCCTTATTGCTTTTTGAGTTTGTTAGGGGGCTCCCTATGCTTTTAAAATAGCACAGTTTCAGAATAGCTTCCCTTTCTCTGATATAAGTATAACAATTCTCCAAGTACAGGTCACTTTTAAAGCTACATTTGCCATTCTTTTCTTTCTTTCTTTCTTTTCAATAGAAGTAATGGGGGGATTTTTTGTGTGTTTTTGTTGATTTGTTATTTTTCATGTGGTTCCAGAAAAGTGCAGGGTGGTTTGTGCTCAGGGGATCCAGTGGGAACCGAGGGAAGGGACAAAAAAGCCCCACCAATCAGCAGGAGGAGGTAAGAACAAGTGATAAAGGGAAACAGGCAAACACATTTGATGGATTGGAGGGTGGTTAGTGAGTAGGAGGGGAATATGCAAGTAGGGTTACAAATGCTGTCCACAGTCATTGTAATTTCCATAAAAAGCCCTCAGAGGATTATAAAGCTGTTCTTTTATTTGAATGGTACAAAAACCTCACACAATCTATTATATTCCATTCTTTAAGGCACTTTCTTTTAATAAAACAAGCATATTTAATGGGATAATTAACTGAGCACTAAAATCATCACTTTAGATTTTCACCTGAGTATTCATGTAACTTCAAGTATAAAGAGTCCAAAGAAACAT